ATCTCATTTCTTATTCAGGTTATTTGCTTCTCTCCTGTTTTTCTTTTGTCAGTTGGCCATGGTTGGTTGATTTTGTTGATCTTTTCAAAGAACCAGCTTTTGGTCTTGTTAACTTTTTCAGTTGTTTTTCTGTTCTCTATTTCATTTAATTCTGCTCTAATTTTTATTATTTCCTTCTTGTGCCTGAGTGCTTCTTCTGCTCTCTTTCTGCTTGTTCGAGTTGTAGGGTTAATGTTTTGATTTGGGCCTCTTTTTCTTTTTGGATGTGTGCAGTTATTGCTATAAATTGAACTCTGAGCACTGCTTTTGCTGTGTCCCAAAGGTTCTGGTAGGATATGTTTTCATTCTCATTTGATTCTGTGAATTTTCAAAGCACTTGTGTAGTGAATGAGCGTCACAATGCTATTGTGAGCTAGATAGGACAGGCATCAGTTGCCCCATTTGACTGAGGAGAATTTGTCATTCAAAACAGAAAGTACAGCAGAAACAAATTTTATTACACATCTACCAAGTGTTTAGCACAGTCTTGAATGGTAGGGGTGAAAAACAACTCAGGTAGTTACAGTTCAATTGGAGGGTCAATACAAACATTAAGTGTCAAAACACAATAAAGTAGTTGCTTTGCATGTGACCTTAGTAGATGCCTAATAAAAATCTTTTTAAATTAAATGCTACAAGGCAGGGAATTGTTAAAATGGAAAATGCAGTGTTAATAGTAAATGCTATAGGTTGTGGAGAGCGGCCATTTCAGTGTGGACTGGCGTAATGGAGGAAGTGGATTTGAGCTAGGCCTTTAAAGAGTGAGTAGGATTTGAGTAGGCAGGGTATAGTCTTTTTGTTCTTTGTTTGTATTGTTGTAGTTTAAGTGAAAGTTTACAATTCATCTCTCATACAAAAATTTGTATATACATTGTTATATGACCCTAATTGCTCTCTCTATACTGTGACAACAGACTCCTCCTTTCCACCCCTGATTTCCCGTGTTCATTCAGCTAGCTCCTAACGCTCTCTGCCTTCTCTTCTCACCTCCAGACAGAAGCTGCCCATTTAGTCTCATGTATCTACTTGAGCTAAGAAGCACATTCTTCACGAGTATCATTTTATGTCCCACAGTCCAGTCCAATCTTTGTCTGAAGAGTTGGCCTCGGGAATTGTTTTAGTTCTGGGTTGACAGAGAGTTCGGGGGCCTGCTTTCTGGGGTTCCCCCAGTCTCAGTCAGACCATTAAGTCTGGTCTTTTTACTAGAATTTGAGTTCTGCATCCCACCCTTCCCCCGCTCCATCAGGGACTCAGAGTATAGTTTTTGAACCATTCTGGAATGAAGTGTCTGCACATGAATAAAGTAGCAGACAATTGGAGACCAGATTATGTTAGGTCTAAAAGGCAAATTAACAAGTAGGCTTTGATATTATAAAAAGCAGGAAATTGTAGATAATTTATATGTAAGAATATCAGAACAAACACTTTACGTTAGGATGGTGCCATTCTTCAGAAAAGCAGCAGTGAAGGCAGTGGTGGGACAGGGTGGCAGGGGGCTGTGCCTAAGTGGATAAGAGAGGAGGGTGTGACCTGACGGCTTCAGGAACATCAGAGGGGACAAGCAGTATGTTTGGTTTTATAAAGTTTGAAATCCAAAAAAGGTACTTGTTTAAATATGTAATTTATATAATTTACTTTTAACATGTTATTTAGATGGACCAGCCAATCTCGTGGAAAAGTGGAATGGAATTCCTAAGCCTGTCTAAGAGAGAGACAGAAAGCTGTTTCCTCTTTGGCGGTGACTCTCTTCAGCAGTCTGCAGCTTTCTTCTATGGGAGTTTAGCTGTAGACCTGGGTTTGGAATTTAGCTTGCATTTTTGTATATAAATAATGCCACATGCTACTGTTTGGTCCCAGGCCATCCCACACAAGAGGTATTTAATTGTACCTCTATAGCACTGTTGCCATAGGGAAAGTACATTTTAGTTCCAAATCAGATACAGGAACAAATCTCCAGGCATGGAAGCACCAGAGGTGGGAGCCAGCAGGCTTTGGCAGTGTTAGCTCTTGGCAGTTTTGGAGTGGGTCACTTTTTACTCCCATAAAAGAAGCTTCATCCCTTGGTCAGTCACTGCCCAGGAATACTGGTATCTCCTCTAAGAATAGAACCCCCTCTCCCCTAATGTCAGGGACAGTACTCTTTTACTACATACAGGTCAGTCCTGAATTAGATGGTCTATAATTACGTATCAAAAGTGAAAAAATCACCACTGAGGTTATTAGGATAATGATTTTACTAGGTGCAAATAACCCATTTCTTTCTGAATTTGAACAATAAAATCCAACCAAGAAAGAGTAGTTTTTGCATTTACATGTCTGCCTCTTCCTAGTACTATCCAGTCACTGAAAAAGAGTAAAATTTCACACAGGGATGTTATGTATATATTTTCAAATGACTGTTCTAATTTAAATTACAAAATATATACACATTTTAATACAAAGGAATGAAGGTGCTAGTGGTGCTCAGTGGTGCTCATCATCAACTTCCAGGCTGTCCATCTGGAGTCAGCTTGTACCTGTAAGATAGGTGGGTTTGGACTTGTGTTGGTATTGAGTGTGTGTTGTAGTAGTAACAGAACTAGACAAGCTGCCTAGTCCTGCCTGCCTGGGCCTCTGTGGGACCAGTAGAGCCCACCTCTCTGTAAGTTGGCCTGTTGGGGTTAAGGCTAGAGCTTAGGTGCCGTGGAGTTGATATTCTGACTCATAGCAACCCCATGTGACAAAGCAGAGCTGCCCCATAGAGTTTTTACAGGGATCCATTAGGGAAGTGAGATCTGCAGTGGTTAAAGACTTAAATAGGTGAAAATCTGTCTCCCTCCTTGATACCAAAGGAGCTGAAATAATACTGACAAGGGAAGAACTTTGGAGAGAAAATATGGGCAGCTCTCTGGGACAATATCTTGAATAGCAGATTAACAGTGATAAAATAAAATGAAAGGGCACACTTACCATTGTGAAAAGCCCCTAATCAAATCTTCTTTTGATAAGTCAATCAGTACCTAAACAACCACAAATAATCAGTTCCCCTCCAAAAAACTGCATTAAATAGAAACACATGGAGATAAACTGGATTGACCATGAAAGCCTTATGTGTGGGGGTTTTGAGTACTGGCTCTTTTTCCTTTGGTTTTTAACATGGAGTCCCTCCAGAGAGACAGTACAGACACTGATCTCAGTGTTCTGGATAAAGGTGCATTGCTGTTTGGAGTTGCTTCAGGAATTCTAGGTAAGTTAAAAATTTTCCCTTTTCAAGCTTTATTTATGAATGTTATAGAAAGAGCAACTTGCCCCTACTCATTAAGTGGTTAGTAATTTTAAGCAAGATACCACAGTTGCCTTATCTGTAAAAATGGGGTAATGCTACCTATTTCATAGGGCTTAAAAGAGATGAGTATAAGTAAGTGTTTATTAAATTATAATGACTACAAACTATTATTCAAATACTAATCTTTTGCCTCTTCTTGGTATCTTCCTGGGGATTGTATTTCCTCCAGTTCTACTTTAGGTAAAATCCCATCAACACAAAAATCTTGTTGTAATAAGAGATCCGAGCTTCACACAATGGATTATTTACCAAAACAAGATTTAATACCATAGTAGTGTTCAGATACTTGTAGAAAGAATGAATTTGGATTCCAGAGTTTGTTAAAATAGGGGTTATCATACTATCTTATGCTTTTTAATAGGGGTTATCACACTATCTTATGCTTTTATATTCTTTAGTTTCAGGAATTAAAAAAAAAAAAAAAACACCTTCCAGTGAGACTGTTACCCTCCTTGAAGTCAGAGCCTTCCCACTTACTAATTACACCACATCACCCTTGTGCCTGGTCCACCGATGAAGGCCAGTTAGTACCAAGAATCCCTTCTGTACTTACTTTTCCTAGCTCCTTTCTTCTGTGTAAGCCAAGTGGCCTACTGTTTTTCACTGCAACATCTAGTGACCTTTTCTTTACTTCTTCCATGGGAACAAAGAATTCAAATCTTTAAGAAACAAAAAGGAAATGAGATTTACACATTTCAGCCATTTTTTTTGAAAAATCTAAAGTGTTTCATCCACTTCCCTACTTTTTAAACAGAAGATATGGACTACTGAGAAGAGCACCTTGAACAGTGCTGGCTCATAGCAGGTACTCAATGTGTCATCACTACAGATGATCCCTGTCCTGTGTTCTCAAACCTTGAAGTTTTAAGAGGCTGTTTGCCTCTCTGGGAAGTACCTTGGACTACTTAGTTATAAAAAACAAAAACCCACTGCTGTCGAGTTGACTTTGACTCATAGCAACCCTGTAGGACAGAGTAGAACTGCCCCATAGGATTTCCAAGACTGTAGCCTTTAAGGAAGCAGACTGCCACATCTTTCTACCACAGAGTGGCTGGTGGGTTCAAACTGCTGACCTTACGGTTACCAGGTGAGTGCTTAACCATTGTGCCTCCAGAGCTCCTTAACTGAGTTATAAAACCAAAGCCAAACCCATTGCCATCGAGTCGATTCTGACTCATAGCAACCCTATAGGACAGCGTAGAACTGCCCCATAGGATTTCCAAGGAGTGCCTGGTGGATTCGGACTGTTAACTTTTTGGTTAACAGCCATAGCACTTAACCACTGTGCCACCAGGGCTCCAATTGAGTTATACTACTGTCTTATTTTTCTGTGACTCTACCCTGGCTGCCATTTTCTCAGCTGCCCCTTCTCACTCTCTTAATAGTGCCTGCGAATAGGTCCACCTAAACCCCTTTCTAAGTTTTGTTTTGTTTGTTTCTGACCAATTGAGGGCTAGAATGCTGAACAGTCAGATTTACTAGAATTACGTGGAAAATACTGGCTTGCTTTTGTGAAATAAAGCAGAGGAATCTTGGTGTACATGCTTTGTCAGGTACTTATAAGAGGCCTCAGGACCTCTTCTAGGTTCATTTTTAGGGTGGCAGTTGCCAAAGTCCTGTTCTCAGATAACCTAGGCACTTGTACTAATATCCTTTTATTGTATAATTTTGAAAGAGAATTACTAACACATTAGGTTTGTCACAGTAGTCAAAAGTCAAAGCTCCTCCCTCCTCTGTTCCCACATAGCAAATTCGGCATGTGTTTGTGTCAGAGCTGTCTTTAAAGACAAGGTCCCTTGTGTGGCTCTAAAATGTAGGATGGTGCCTGACAAAGTTTTCAGTAAATGTTGAATGAATAAATTCTCTCTGCCCACTCTTTCTTGACATCGATGAACTTGAAATGTAGCTCTTGAAAGAACATACATGTTCTTAGACATGGCCCAAAAGGACTCAGTACAACCCTTTTAAAATGAATACTTATTGATCAGAATAAAAGGAAACCAGAATTATCAGGTATAATATATTCCTAGACTGGCTGGAAATGTCTTCTCTTAGGGCCCTAGAATAAAAGGAAACCAGACGGGAGCAAGTGAGAATGAAGAGAACAGGATACAACGAAAAGATTAGTCCAAAGGACTAAT